CTGGCCTTCATCAATACTCCTTTGCAAAGGAATCTCTTTGCTCAACATGTGAAAAGGGAAAGCAGATAAAGGATAGTTTCAAATCCAAGCAAGTCTCTTCAGTGACTTCTCCACTTCAGCTATTGCACATGGATCTCTTTGGTCCAGTCAATGTGCAATCAGTAGCTGGAAAGAAATATACACCTGTCATTGTTGATGAGTATTCCAGGTACACTTGGGTCTTCTTTCTCAGATCTAAAAGTGATGCACCTGAAGAAATCATCTCGTTCATCAAACGCATAGATGTATTGGACATCAAAGTATGATCTATAAGGAGTGATCACGGTACTGAGTTCAAGAACAATGCTATTGATAGCTTCTTTGAGAACAAGGGAATCTCACAAAACTTTTCATCTGCGAGAACTCCATAATAAAACGGAGTTGCTGAAAAAAGAAATCGAAGAATCATTGAGGATGCTCGATCCATGCTTAGCGAATCCCATCTCCCTACTCAATTCTGGGCTGAAGCTGTCAATACTGCTTGCTTTACTCAAAATCGATCTCTAATCATCAAGAAATTCAAGATTACAGCATATGAACTCTTTCATAGTAGAAAGCCCTCTCTTAGCTTTCTTCATATATTTGGTTGCACTTGTTATATTCTCAACAACAGAGACCAACTTGGAAAGTTCGATTCCAAAGCTGATGAAGGAATCTTTCTTGGATATTTTTCAGTATCCAAAGCCTTCAGAGTATTCAACAAATGACGACAATCTATTGAAGAAACTATTTATATCACCTTTGATGAATCTCAATCAGCTAACTCTAAACCCATCTCTGATGATGATGAAGAGTTAGAAAGTTGGATGATCTCTCACTATGGACAACTTGAAGCTTCCTTCAGCAAGCGACCCAGTGCTGACCCTCCAGAAGTTGATGACTATTCATATATGATTCCAGATGTGACTAATAACCAAGGGGAATCCTCTTCAGGGATTGTTGCAGTGTCCATTAGTCACTTACCCCCTTCTACTTCAAACACTATGTGATAACCGGATTATGGTTATTTGATTACCTGATTATGTGATCACGTGAATATATGATTAATTGCTATAATTGATCATGTGGATACATGCTTACATGAGATTTATATGTGAGTGTGTTCATATTTTCATGCATGAAATGCTAATGAGAAAATATGCATATGTGTATGCATGTTTTATGTGTATGCATGAAAGTGTATATGTACATATAAGTATATGCATGGTTTTTACTTAAGCATGCATGAAGGTTTTTGGTATGATTAGGTTGTATGCATGTATATGCATAAAATATATTCATCAACCGCCTTCCATTTTAAGGAAGGTATAAAAGGGGGATTTTTAGAAAGAGAAAGTTTTCCTTGTCATGTTGGAAAGTTAAAACAGTGAGAGGGAAATCTGTGTGTTGCTTGCCAAAATTGGAATCTAAAGTTGGGGATCAAAGTGGGAACAGTTTTTGGTCATATTTCATCCTTCAAATTCTAAATCTGTATAAGGTGAGTTCTTTTAAACAAATTAGATTTTGAATTACTTATTACTGGTTTAGGGTTTGAATGAACTGCTAGTGTAATATGTTTTTTTTTTGTATATCTTATGAAAATTCCTTGAACGGTGAGAAGTTTGATGATTTCTATGTGATGACCGATAAGGACTTGTAATCGGACAAGTGTTGTCAGATGAGGGTCCTTACCGGCCAAGCCTTGACCAATGAGGAGTTTTGTTGTTTTATGTGTTGACCGATGATGTATCTTATCGAATATAGCCTTGTCCGATGAAGTGTTGTTCGGATACTTTTTACTCATCGCCCAAAATAATGTATGGATTTAATGTTTAAAGTGGCTAAGTGTTGACCGGTTTGGATTGGTTATCAGACAAACCTTGTCCAGTGAGGATGCTCATCGGACAAAGCCTTAGCCAGATTATCATATTTGTTGCTAGGTGTTGACCGGTGAGGACTGTATCCGAACAATGTGTTGTCCGATGAGGGTGTATCCAGACAATGTTGTCCGATGAAAGGGTCCAAATAAGGTGTGATCGGTGACTATGTTTGCGATTTTCAAGTGTTGTCGGATAGGTGTTGTCCAGAAGGTGTTGTCCGGATAATGTTGTCCGGATAGTGTTGTCCGGATAATGGTGTCTGATGACGAGGGTTCATCGGCCATAGTACTGACCAATGAAGGGAAATTATAAACTAAGACTTCTGTTATAACAATGTGGTTTTTAACAAATGTTGTTTTAAACAGTTTTAAACTGTTTTATATTGAGAAAAGATTTTGTATCTTCTATATGAGATTTGTAAATCGAGAAAAGATACTGATGTTGTCTTTCAAGACGGTTATGACGTAAAATCTATTTTGAAAGAAATATTGATTTGAGAAATATTCCTCCCAGACGTGGTGACGTAAGTTTGTTCTGGTATGGTACTAGGTTTTTTCCAGACGTGGTGACATAAGTATGTTTTGGTATGAAACCATGTATTGAGTTTATCAAATGTTTCTTCCAAACGTGGTGACATAAGTCTGTTCTGATATGAAACCATGTTTTGAGACCATTATTGGCTAAAACTATAGATTTATTTGTAGATTTGGGGAGGAAACAAATGTGTCATATCAAGGAGAGAGGTGTACCATGAGATAAGGGTGGCATATTAAGGAGAGGTGTACATATGGATATAAGGGTGACATTTGTGCGTGAGTTGATTGTTATAACTTTTGATATTATATAAGATGCAAAAATTATAAATCGACATTTATCTGTGACTTGATGACTTAGACATATTGCTCTTATTGAAATGATAACATTGATGTTATTGAGAAGGGTAAAACGATTTATAGCCAGAGACATTAATTGCCTGTGATTCAAATGATTTTGAGGTATCATATTTTGAGTATTTCCAAGAGTAGTGATTTGAAATAAAACCCGGAGAGTCGTTGGTTATTGTTTGATCACTTCTTACTTAAATTTAAATTAAAAGCTTTTGATAATAACCAATAACTCTAGTGGTTGTTTAATTATGGTTACTCTTTTATAACCGTGGGGATTGAGACCATAAGCTTTGAATCAGTTGTAACTTGTGAGGACCATTTAAAAAAAAAAAATTAGAACTGGAAAATAAAGAATTGGATTACCTAGGTTTTGAACTGTCAGTCCTAAATAAAAAGAAATCTGTTACTCTAGGAGATAAAAAACAAGCTTAAGTGTAATTTTGAAAAAAGACTATCAATACAGTTTTTACTGTTTGGAACCAATTTAGATACTATGTGAAACGTATTAATTAACTTAGCTGAGAATTTAAAGAAAAAGAACTTTGTCTAGAGGACACCTTATCTTTGCTAAATAAGAAAACTAAAGTTTTTGCATTTTAATCTAGACTATAGAGAAAGAACAAAATAATAATATTTTAAATATTCTTAGTCAACCTATGATAGGAAAGTTAGAAGTAATTAGATAATTTCACCAAAAAAATTACTTCGATTTATTTGATTTAAACGATATTAATACTTTAACAGACCAAATTAGTTGTCTATCTTTAGAAACTAGTATAAAATGACAAATCATTAAAGACAAGCCTTCTAGACATTATAATTTTATAAGATTTAAAAATGAATCTAAATAGACCATCTAGATTAAACGTGATGCATAAATAAAAATAAAAATAAAATCCGAATTTTCAACTTTTGATTGTATCCTTTTGTTGTTTTCTTTTCTTTGGTTTATATTTGCATGCAAGAGATAAACTCTTGTGGGTGTTGTATGTTACATGTAGCTATAATAATTTGCCTTCTACTTCGGATCTTCTTATAGTGTTCTAAGTTTTACTTATGCACGTGCTGTATGTATTTTATTATAGATGCTCATGTATTACTTGATAAAAATAAGTTAAGTTTGTTTGGATGTATATAAGTTTGCTTATTTTCTGAGTAAATGTTTGAATGCATATATATAAATTAGCTTATAAACTAACTTATTAAAACGTTACTTGAAGTAGTATCTTAGTCGCTTGTTGTCAATTTTTTCAATTATAACCCATTACTTATAAATAAATACTAATAAATATCATTTAACTATTAATTATGTTACGTATTATACATTAATATTATTTACGAAAATAATCATATCAATTATTTTCATATTA